TTATTGCTCAGGTTGATTAGGCTTTTTAAGGGCTTATTATTGGTGATGATACAAAGGGGGAATTTGTCCGGAATTAGAAATAGATAAAGAGAGGAAACAAAAAGGAGAAGAGAAGAAGAGAGAGAGCACTTTTATTGTTGATTTATATTTGAATGTAGACAATAGAAACATTTCATTGTTTATATTGTTAATAAAATTAGAGTTGGACTAGTCCTCATTGTTATTTGGGCACAGATTAAAGTCTTATTTATGCATATTAAGCCTTGGTGCTTGCAACCAAAATGTTTTGAAGTTATATTTTACTGTTTAAATACTCCCTTTAACTATAATTTTGTGGGAATAATTAGTACAACACATATCATGAATTGTGCAGTGGCTGGCTTTTCAATGCAACAAAACTAGTCAATCCAATCTTTTCATTTTTGGATCCAGAAGTCGCCCACCGATTGGCTGTTTCTGCTGCAGCTCGTGGATGGGTCCCAATAGAGAAAAGGCCAGACCCACCAATATTGGAACTAGAAGTTTGGGGAAGGAGGTTCTCCAATCCTCTTGGTCTTTCTGCTGGCTTTGACAAAAATGCTGAGGCCGTTGAAGGCTTACTTGGCTTAGGTTTTGGCTTTGTGGAGGTAGGATCGGTTACTCCGGTGCCACAGGAGGGTAATCCAAAGCCTCGTATATTCAGATTGCCTAAGGACGGGTAAGAACGAATATTTTAACCTGTTTTATCAATTAAGATCTCTTTTTTGTGTATTCTACACTGTATGGCATGAAGTGAAGCTTTATTTTATTTGTCGAATGCAAGTCTCATTTTTAAAACTCTTAGAGATGTTTGCCGCACATAGTATTGGAAAATTCGATAAACAAGATTGTTTAATTTCTGTTTTCTTTTTTAATCTGCATAGACCACCTTACCAAACAATGTTTAAATGTGGCAGTGCTATAATTAATAGATGTGGCTTCAATAGCGAAGGAATAGTTGTTGTTGCGAAGCGGTTGGGTGCTCAACATGGTAAGAGGAAGTTAGAAATGTCGAGCACTACATCTTCCGCAGGTGATGAAGTTGTACATGGAGGGAAAGCTGGTCCTGGAATTTTGGGGGTTAACCTTGGAAAGAATAAGACCAGTGAAGATGCTGCGGCGGATTATGTACAAGGAGTTCATACATTATCCCAATACGCTGATTACTTGGTATATGTCCAATTTATTCCTTTAAAGTTTCATGTCCATATTTTCTTAGATCTGGGAACCCACCTAAGTGGATGTTATGAAACATAAATTTATATCTAGTGTATAGGATGAATGTTGTATTGCAACTTTGTTACTTCACCCCTGTTTGGCTCCCATTAAATTAAATTACATTACATTAAATTTTTCGCTCTCTTCATTACAACCACACATTCATCAAATAAAATAATATTACACACAAATCTAAAACTTTTCATTACTTTTCTACCACACATTCTTCCATCAATCACTATTCCAAAAATTTTCAACCCTAAAAAATGCCAAATAATGGGGGCCAAACAGGGGCTTCATCTTTAGATACATTTGTTGAGCAGCTGTAAGTCTGATCTTACAGTGCTTGGTCCTCACCTTCTAGGTTATCAATATTTCATCTCCCAATACTCCTGGGCTGCGCCAACTTCAGGGGAGAAAACAATTGAAAGATCTGGTTAAGAAGGTTTTGACCGTACTTCTTTGTCAATCTGATTAGTTAATGTATATTGGAGAATACAGTACCTAATTAAGTTGACGATGTAGTTATAACTTTATCTTTGTCAAGGTTCAAGCTGCTCGTGATGAAATGCAATGGGGTGAGGAAGGCCCACCTCCTTTGCTTGTGAAAATTGCTCCAGACTTGTCTAAACAAGATCTTGAAGATATTGCAGCGGTATGTACATAGTTATTTTCTGACACGAGCTTTTTCTCCGTCATGGGCATCCTTAATACTTGTTCTCTGTTTCCGTAGGTTGCTCTTGCACTTCGAGTAGACGGATTGGTACGTCGTTTATGATGCATTATAGTCTCTTTAACCTTTTTGCTATGTTCAGTTTATGAGCTTTGCTATAGGTACATCATAGTGTACATAAGGGTGTACACCTTCCTCACATGAGGGGTGGGACCCGCTTAAATAAAAAAATATTTTATACAGTGGGTCCCACCCCTCATGCGAGAGGGGTGTAGCCCCTTATGTACATCTTTTGATGTACAAGTGGAATTGCTCTCAGTTTATTGATTCACCGTAATGTATCCATGATTGTAACTATTGACTGCTTCTTGGCTACTCATAAAGATCTCGTGAATACGAAACAATTAATTATTTTTATGAGATAGACATATAAAGCGGCTTATAAACTGATAGTTGATTTTTTGGCATGCTTAAAATCATTTTGTATGTTCTGATGCTTGTAGATTNATAAAAGAAAGTACTGATATTTAATTTAGCAAAATCATATATTATTACAAGCGTTCCTTTCGAGTTTAAGTTTTTGGATTAGTTGGGTTTAAATTTTTTATTCATTTGAGGATAAAATGGTAAATACAAAACATAAAATTAAAAAAAAAAATTTGTCAAAAAATTTGGGGGGACCCGGACCCCCCCTGCCTCCGTCCCTAAATTTACCTACTGGATCCTCAGCCTCCATGGCCTTCATTGGAACTATATGATTTATTAATGGTATATGGTAAACAATAATTTTATATGTTCCATCTTTTAATTTAAATTTGATGTCTATTAGTAAACTCACTACTGCTCTAAATTGTTGTCATTCTCATTCCCATATTTTTTGTCTTGCGGGATTTGGCCATGGGTGATTGACTCAGGCAAGAAGCGTCACAAACCTCGCATCAAGCTTCTCCACTTTGGCCACAAAAAAAGCATCTTTTGATGAAATGAGTATATTTCACTATGGGTCTCTAACTTTTCCATTTTGTAGCAATTTAGTTTATATTCAATTTATATCCCCCCGGTTCCCAAATTTCATTCATTCACACAAGTGATCTTTCATGACTATTTCCAACCCATTTTTGCTGTCAAAATCTTGTAAAATGACATTTCTATCCTTATTAACTTAAAAGAAAGTAAAAAGCGAAAAAAGTAAAAAATATAAACAAAAATAAATTAAATGAGTTTTGCTATAGGTACATAATAGTGTACATAAGGGTGTACAACCCCCTCACATGGGGATGTGACTCGTTTAAATAAAAAAATATTTTATACAGTGAGTCCCACCCCCATGTGTGAGGGGTGTAGCCCCTCATGTACATCTTTTGATGTACAAGTGGAATTGCTCTCAGTTTATTGATTCACCGTAATGTATCCATGATTGTAACTATTGACTGCTTCTTGGCTACTCATAAAGATCTCGTGAATACGAAACAATTAATTATTTTTATGAGATAGACATATAAAGCGGCTTATAAACTGATAGTTGATTTTTTGGCATGCTTAAAATCATTTTGTATGTTCTGATGCTTGTAGATTATATCAAACACAACGATTCAAAGACCAGATCCTGTTAGTAAAAACCCAGTTTCTCAAGAAGCTGGAGGCTTGAGTGGGAAGCCACTGTCCGATTTATCCACAAATATCCTGAAAGACATGTATATTCTCACAAAGGTAGCTATTTTCATGACTCTTCATGTATATTTGTCTGAACAGATCCTTCCCATACTCATGAAAATTAATCTAATTTAACAAATAACGAAGAAATTATTCAATGTAGAGAGATGAACACTGAATAGCTTTTAGCTGAACTTCCTAGTTTTTCAATAAAAATTTGCAGTTTATGGGAACAATAGTAGAAGGTTACGTACATTTACTATTTTTTGTCTGTTGTGAGTTTTCACATATCTAATTTCTTTTGCAAGTTCAGACATTTTCAATTTATATTATATTCTATTTTTAGATTTCGTGTTTGCACTACACAATTTATTTAATAATTTTTTTGCTGTACATTCCATTTATGCAATTCTCGTGTTACTCGATAGGGAAAGATTCCTCTGATAGGCTGTGGAGGTATTAGCAGGTAATAATACTTGACAATTTGTCATTGTAATTTCTACCCTCTTTTCTTCATCATTACTAAGCTTAATATGATCTGTCAGTGGTGAGGATGCATACAAGAAAATACGAGCAGGGGCGACTCTTGTTCAGCTGTATACTGCTTTTGCATACGGCGGGCCTGCTCTTATACCTAAGATAAAGGTAGACTTCTAACTACTACACAAATTTGAGTTTGAATGAGGGGGGAATAAGTAAAATGTAATTTCTAGGAAGGGACAATTCGAATTGGTTACGTATGATGATGAACTCGATCGTCATAATGGTCGAGTATTTGCCTTGAATTGCACTCTTGTTTGGTCTATCACATAATTTACTGTTTTTCTCTTTTTCTTTTAGGCCGAACTCGCTCAATGCTTAGAGAGGGGTGGCTACAAGTCCATCCACGAGGCAGTCGGAGCAGACTGCAGACAACCTTAATGTATTAGTACAATTTTTAGAGCTTGACAGGTTCAATATTGCATGTACAGGCTAGTTTACCGAACACCCCCCACCCCGTGCTCTTGAATAAATTTTCTATTTGAGTTTTTGTTCACCCGAAATTTTTTTCTTCCCGCATGTTTTATCCATTTTAACGGTCCACAGTGAAAATTTTGATAATTTTTGAATGTCATTGTATGTCAAAATAGGGAATAAAATTTTTCTTGCATATCTTAGATTTGACATTCTGCTATGAATGTCGACATTCGGAACATGCAAAAAATAAAAATAAAATAAATGAAAAATAAAACTGAAAATGATAGGTATTGATGGTACGTGGCAGTTAACAAGCACTACTCATCTCGTCCCTATTACTTCCTGTTTCTCATTCTCATTCTTTCTGCCCCCACCATTCACCTGCTCCTCTCTCACCACCGCCCTCCTCCACCCTCCGCCGCCTTAAGCCAACACCAAAAAGACGTGAAAAACTCTTAAGCAAAAAAGGAGTGGCATAAGAATGGTGGGACTAAGTGTAATATTGGAAGAGCACAAGGATATTAATAAGAGAATTTCACGAGTTATAAGCAAATGGAGTTTCTGTATGAAAATCAAATCCCCCTCGACTCTTCATCCTCCAAATCCTTCGTCTCCTTGTCCTTTTCCGAGGAGGAATTTTCCGATATATCTTGATGAGTGTTTGCTCTGCAGGAAGAAACTGTTACCTGGGAAAGACATCTACATGTACAAGTAAGCTTGCAAAATGTGAAAAAAAACAAAAATAAAGTTATCGACATCTAACTTCGTTATTTTAGAGACTTGTTTCGATTGTATGATCTTCATTCTTCAACTGTTTGATGCAGGGGGGACATGGGTTTTTGTAGCGTGGAGTGCAGGTGCAGGCAGATATCTATGGATGAAGAGGAATCTGCAAGAAGTGGTTGTACAAGTGAGTACAAGTACTGTTCATTATCTGCCATGAAACCCCAACAAATGCCTCCGTCATCTTCTTCTTCTTCTGGTGGAAAAGGAAGCAGAAACATGGCAAATACTTTTGTGTACTGAATGCTTCTGTTATGAGATTTTTCTTCCACTTTTGCCACTGTTTTTTATGACATTGACGTCCTCTTTTCTTAGAATGTAGCCAAGAAATCTTAGTTTGTCGTCACTTGAAGGGTGTTTTTGGTAGTCTTGTTATGTTTCTTGGATATGATCACTTGGTTTTGATTGCTCTTAATCGAGTTCCAAATGTTGAAAGTTTCGGGATTAATGTATGGATGTTCCAAAGATTACTAGCCTCTGTTTGATATACATTCTTTCAAAACTCATTTCCAATCACACATTTTTCATACAAATAATATTTTTCATCGCATCAATAACTTTTTTCTTACTTTTTAATTACATATTTTCCATTGTATCATTATTTAAAATACATTGTTTTTTCAATAATATTCATCAAACTCACCCTTAGAGCTTGTTTGGGAGGATTTTTGGGGGAAGAATTGATTTTGAATAGTGATATGATGGGAAATGTGGTTGAAAAAGTAGAAAAAATTATTGATGTAATGGAAAATATTATTTTATTGAAGAATGTGTGGTTGAAAATGAGAATTGATTTACCGTAGAAAAAACTAAATCCCTTTCAAAAAGGGCCTTAATATAGCGATTAATTAGAATAAATAGAAGAGGTTAGACTAGAGGTATAAGCAAGTCAAGTTGGACCAACCAGTCTTTCTGCTCAAATTCGATAAGAACTTTCGGGGGGTGGACTTAGATCAAAATGTTGGACGGATTTAAATTTAAAACAAACTTCGTTTTTTTTATTTCTTTGTATGATAAATTAAACAAGATTTTAGAGGGTGTTTGGTGTAGATTAGTTGAGTTCATTATACCAAGCATTAGATGCTTGTTTAAGACTATTTATTAGATTTGAAGGTGCAAAGCGTCAAGTTCAAGAAACTAAGAGGGTGTTTGGTGTAGATTAAAATCAGATTTTAAGTGGATTGTGATAGAAGTTTTTGAAATGTGTAGTTGAAAAGATGTGAAACCCATACAAGATGTAATTGATATTAATTGTTTGACTTTAATTTAAATTAAAATTTAGCCCAAACAAACCCTAAGAATAACACGAACGGAGCTATAAGACACGGTAAATGGTGAAAGAGGGGGTTGTACCATGTTAGATTCTTATCTTGGAAAATGATATTTGGCTCTTCCTTGGCCCAATGCTAGAGAGACATCCAATGGCAGTTTGTTTATTCCTGCCAAACAGTTTTGAGAAACATAGGACAATTGTCCAATTCCAATGTTTTATTTTGTGCTCATGTTCGTGTCACACAGAATTAATTCAGGTGACATGAACTTACTTTTAACTCTAAACCCCATAAAGATGATATGAAGGACAAAACTATTCACGCAACAAAGTGCCTTGGGAGCCGAAAACCTAGGACGGGCCATCTTCATCGGCTCTCGATAGTCTTGTTTATCTTTTTCAAGTACAATTCGTATTGAAAATTAAGATTAAGGGGACCCCTTTAGTAGGAGAACGAATTTTAACAATTTCCCCCAAAAACCAATTATTCACACTTGTACAAGACTTGAATATGCTATTTAGAGGTGAACCCATCAAATCATGACCCTTTTCCAGGAATTGGATCCATACATCTTTTTTTTTTTTTTTCACTCGACTCAAATCATTTAACAAGCATACATAACAATCATGGAGTAGTGGAATTACACTCGGTAAAAGTAGAACAGCAAGTCAGGCTAGAACTTGTACAAGAACATCGCACCAGTAGCAGTTTTCAAATAGTACAACTCCTGCTATCAATATCATCGTCAACTTTTGTCTTCGCTACTCAAGTCACGGTATACATCAACCAGATTTGAACAGAAGCACTGCTTTGGAATCCAAATAGAAGTAGACAAAGTGGTTTGTCTCATGAGTTACATAAGAACCTACATGAAAGAGTGAGAAGTAATAAAGTTAGTCGAGGCCCATGCATTTCCAATGGATTATCAAAGCAGAAAATACTTTCCATTTCTTGTAAATAGAGGAAAACATTCCTATCATTCCTCACAAGTGAGCAAATACTTAAGTAAAACTAATTTTTTTGCAACCACTTAGACCATGTTAATTTTAGTTTGTCTCCTAACTAGTGTTAATGCAATTGCATCGTCTTTATTTGCCATTTAAGTCATCGTTCCATTCATTCGTCCTAGATCAGCGAGACTTCTACTTGTTGACATATAGTCTTTTATTATTGAATTAATTTCTTGTGGTTATACATTTATCTTAATATCCTTAGAGTTGCTTCATTCATATTGTGGATAATTCATCCTTCAATAATCAAATGAGCACAGATAAAGATTAATTCAAAGATATTTGTGAGCCAGATCTATTTTCTGAAAGGGGTAAAAGAAACGAGACTTGTGTATGCATTTTTTTTTAAAATTTTTTTGGCAATGGAGCAGTTGTGAATTTAGTGGAGTTGGAAGCAGGAAATGTTCCATTATAGAAAGCCTTCTGGTTGGAGGACTACTTCGAAAATGAAGGATTTTAAGTTAATTCTGATTTGATTATCCATAAATAAAGATTTAAAGGGGATACCATGCATAAGAATGGATAGTCCATCATAAGATCCCTACAATGGTAAAAGAATCCATCTCTGGGATTAGCTTAATACCTATACCGTAGTACTATTTGGAACATATCCTATGTTTTTGTAGATAGGGACAACACTACTTTTTCATCCATTCTTTACACATTTTTCTAGACTGTAAGATCTTTTATTGTAATTTCATCAATAAAAAAGCACCCACAGTTTTAAGTATCTAATTCCACATCAACACGAATAACCTTTCTTTGCACACCACCTGTTCACCTTCCTAGCAAGCTGAAATCAATATGACTAAACTTCTAAGAACTTCTGAAAAGTTAACAAGTAATAATATTTCTTCCAAAAGCTGTATTTTCTTTAACCAGATCATCAATCATCACAAAGTCTCACAAAGGAAAAATTTCATGTGCTTTTTCATGTCATGAGTTACCTTTTCCAAGTGACCATTTAACTGTTTTACCCTATCTAATCCTATTTATAGAACATGTGTGTTAGTTCTCCTATCCTAACATGGTCTAATTAATATAGTTGTATCTTGAACCTTCTAGCGCCCTAAGAAGCAAAGATACTTGTAAACGTGTTATGTACCATATCCATTACGTATACAAAGCTTCGATACTTTCTGATGCCCTCCAATATGTACCAAATACTTATTTTTTAATTTATTTTATATATTTTTAAATTTTTAAAATTTTTGATACGCATCCGATACATATTTTTTATTTATTTTATATTTTTGTATGATTTTAGATACGTATCTCATGCGTATCAGATATGTATTTTTTAAATTATTTTAATAACTAATTGAATATCAATAATATTTATTAACAATACACAATTAGAGTTTTAAAATTAGCTAGACTTTTTACTAAAAATACACAATATTATTTAATCTTTCAATACATGTAGAACCGTGTAGTTGACAAATATATTTTTATTACTGAAAATATATAGTGACTAGTATTCAATAATGCATGTAAAATTGTGTTACATTAATTCTATTATTGAAAATAGATAATGATTTAATATATGTAAAATCGTGCTAATAATTTACATCAATCCAATCAAACTTTACTATATATTTAATGTCTTTAAATAAATTTAATTATAAATTATTAAGAAAACTATCTTATAAAATAGAAGATAAGAACCCTTTCCAAAACTTAAAATAGTAAAACATGTCTTCTTCTCAACCAAGTGATGAATTAGGTTGAATTTCTATAACATGTATAGGTGTATCCTAATTTTTTTAAAAAGTCGTATTGACATATTCGTATTGTATTGTATCTGAATTATGTATCCGTATCCGTGCTTCTTAGCTAGTGTCTAATTGTCTATCCACTTACAAACTCAAATCAATGATGATCCCTATCTTCTCTATCTGAGTATTAAAGTTTATAGATTGTATTCCTAATTTTTGTGTCTTCTATAATATAATCCTTACACTCCTTCACAAGGGAATAAGTACAAATGAAAAATGATTTCAAAATACAACACAAGTAAGCATAATACAGTATAAAATAGAAAGTGAAAGTCAACAATCTATATATACGAAACTAAGCAAATTTATATAATTTCTGTTTAGAAACACATTATAAGGAAAGCTGGTAACACATGATAGTAGCCAATAGTCTCTAATTTTGTTATCTTTCTTTCCGTCTGTCAAAATGATGTCAGCAAATAGTATATTACAACAACTTTCATCAACTCTGACCATTGTGTAAATATTGATTGGAAATAATAACAATGTCACTTTTTGGTTCACAACATTCTCTTTACAACTATAGTCATGCAATCAACTACATACAGAATGCACAAACTTTGTTGACATGAGAGCTCAAGGAGTGTTGGCATGGGATGAGGCAGGTAAAAGGATATATGTTTAGAACACTACAAAAAGGCTACCGATGAGCACAAATCACAGACAATAGAGAACAGTAATTGGTTTATTGGCAATCTGGCAAAAAACTAGTGGGTAGCTACATATGCTGAGAATAACCATTCATTGTCAGAAAATGAAAATTACTCAACGACCTTTAAGAAAAATTTTATGGATTGGAGGCAGGCACAACTCACAAAGAACATTTTTTCGATAAAAAGGAACAGAACAAGGCACTATGAGATCAAGCTTATAACCCTAAGATCAAATTGTGGAGGCATGAATGTTGGCTAACTAAATGTGTGGAATACACCCAGATAATGAAACTCTCTTACCTTCCATGTTAACCCCTATGTTATGAATTAGTCATGCTAATGCCAATCAAACTAGATTTTTTTTTCCCATACTATTGCCATTTGCGGCACGTCAACATAGTTAACCTTAATGGAATATAGTAAAAAGGAGATTAAAGACATGGGATGCACGTATTCTCAACGAGTATCAAAGAAGGGCAGTAGGAAGTCATAAAAAATATATTTAGGCCAAAAGAAGAGAATGTGAGGCACGAGACCTAGTGTCCTAATCTAAGAAACAAGCTATGGGTCCATGTGTTGGCTAGCTAAATACATAGGTATAGCCCACATAAAGAGCACATTTCGTTCAACATTAACTCTAAATTGAGAAGCTTTACCAATACATAAATACTGCTCTAACAAGATCATCATGTCTAATCCATGCATCTTTTTGAGTCACTTGAGAATCCAGATCAAGTAATCTAGTAGCTACTGAGGTTAGAGAACACTCAAAACATCAAAGGAACGTGTAACCAAAATGCAGTTTTCGGAAAATTGAAATACTTGTGATAATAGAGGTGTTACTGTGATAGATTCCTCCTATAACCAAAAAATTAGAAGTGACTATATCCCAACTAATGAACTTGAAGTGTTGGAGTGTAATTCTAAATTAAGACTAGATCCACTCCATAACCAAACAAATAATGTAAATCAGCCAACAGATCACAGTTAAAAATGGCATCAAATGTAGTGCAAGTTTCCAGAACAATATCCACCTACACAATTGACAACCAACGCTCTTCGAGAATCAAGATTAAGAAAAATTACCAAAGTTCTTGCCAACAATACAATGCCAAGTGGGTCCGTGCTTCTTGTCAAACATCTTCTTTATGTGCTCTGCAACCTCCTTTTCCACGCTATACTTCTCAAATGCCTTTACACACACAAGCCAGCATATTAGTTCATAAATTCATATAATATAACAAAATAGGATCTTCGAGAAACGCCGCATCTGAAAAATAAACAATAGAAATAAAGTAATTGGCTCAGTATTTTTTTCCTTTTCCCTTTAATTTGGGGGGAAAAAGAAAGAAAATTTTACTGCGATTGCAATGTCTACTGCTTCTTTCTGCAAGTCCTCCTTCATGTCGGCGCTTTTGATGACTACTTTCTTTCCGGGTCCGGCGCCATTAGTGGAGCCGGAGGAGTATTTACTGTGAACGGCGGATTCCGACGACGGCACCTCCAGTGATCCAACCCCGCTCCTCCCTGTCTCATCACTCATTTTCTTTGTCCTCTTTTGAAATAGAAATTGATACCCTATGCTAATTGCGTATGGTAGAGGGAGGGGTGTGTAGGGCGATTCTTGGCGGTGGTCTCTCGTCTTACGTTAGTGTCGTGGTCAGAATGGTACCAGAGGAAAATATCAAAAACTCGAGGATTTATTTACTTATAGGTGTAAATCAAATTTTAATTTAATTCTGCGTTTCCGTTAGCACCCATTCATCTGTTCATTTTCATCGCACTATAAACTTAAGGATCGTTTGATTCTCATTATTATGGAATGACAATGAAAAATATAACTGTTATTGGGTCCTACACAAAAGATAGAAATTCAAAATTGGTGATTTAATGTGATGGATAACGGTCATATTTTTCATTTTTATGGATGAAAAATGAAAAACAAACGGGGGGCCAAATGAATTCGGTTTATCTTTATAAGTTCAATATGAATCGGTAAAACTTTTTCGTAAAAAGTAAAGAGCGATAAGATTTATTAAAAAATACAAGTGTCGTCATTTGAGTGGACGGTTTAAAAAATATAAGAGAGAAATTGTAATAGATATTAATCATGACATAAATGATCGAGTGTCATCACCAAATGTTGCAGATGAGATGGTTAAAACTAGCAGATTTCATTTTAAAAACTTTTCGATCAATATTTTATTCCCTTGTGGATCAAAAGATACTTTATTTGTAGAAACTAACCCAATTATTGAACACTTGGCTCAATTATTCATATTTGTTTTCAGTTTATTTTTAGGATGAACGAGACTAGGATGTGGGGATTTGGGAGAAAGGAGAAAAGGGGAAAATGAGGGGAGAGGGCATGTCTAGGATAGAGGTGTGGAGAAGGATGAGGGAAACGATAACTATGGTGGGTGCAATGGACAAGGTTTGCAAGTCGCAGGGTTGAATGAGGAAGACACGGTGTTTCTGAAATAAATTACTACAAGAAACTATTTTTCTCCATTGAAAATGGTACGGTCGAAATTTACTTGTAGATCGGGGTTCAAATGAATCTCTTTAATGAAATTGCTGAAGTTCTTTAAAGTCTCTGTCTCATGCTTAAACTCAATCACGATTGTATTAAGATAAAAGAACTTCTTGTTGGTTGGACTTTCAACTTGAGAGGTTGATTAATGAGACAAATAAAACGAACACTTAGCATCGTATCGAAGAAATGAAGGATATGTTTATTAAGATGATTATAGCTATTTCAATGAATATGATCTTAGGCATTTGAACTTGCTTGGAATGTTGATCATCTACGATCCTATTCAACCTGGCGATAGTGTAAAAATTTGTGTTATTTACATAGATTCCATTATAAATAATTAAATATTAATATTGCTAAAAGTAGTATGTGATTAAACATCCGTTTGGGAATTTATGTAAGATTTAATTTATAAATAGGTAGAAATAAGTTGCGGATAAGAGAATAATATTCTTAGATCTTATTTGAATGTGTGCTTAATAATAAAATTTGATAATTTATAAATTTTATCAAACGAAAAGTTTAGCTCAACCTTCGTATACAAATTTTTCAATAAATTATGACAAGGGCAAAGTCAAAGCCCCCATTCAAGTTTTGTTGAGTCGGCCTAAAAACTCTAGCCCTTGTTTGGTATCCATTATTTTCAAAATACATCTCTCTCTTTTTAATTAGTTCTTGAATAGATTTTTAAAAATAAAAAGTTGAGGATCCATCTGCATAAGATGCATAAATTAGAGACATTTATTGCAATTTCAGAAGATAATGCAAAAAAAAAAAAAAGGATTAACGGCATAGGGATGCGTGCACATTGGGAATATCGTCGCCCCTCCCATACTGGATTGGGCCCCTCATCTGCTGCCTAATCCGTTCTTAGGCCAAAACTGTAAATTCCTACACTCTCCAATCACATATGGATTTAATTGACAGATGATTTTTTTTTTTGATTTAAATCAGACATATCATTTAGAGTCCGTCTGGCAAAAATTTTTGGCAAGATTTTCATTCATTTTCTGGCCGTTGGGCCGCACTTCTTGACTGCATATCTCTCAGCCGGGCCCCACTAACGGTGCATTTTCTGCTGAAAATCCAAGAAAAATGGGGAGCAGACAGA